TGCTATCTAATTTTGGCCTTGAGGATATCCAGTGCTGCACAATTGGAGGCTATTCTTTCAGCTACCCAGTTCCAGGCTCTGGAATTCCCTCCCTAAAGCTCACCTATTCTCTAGGGCGATCTCATCTTCAACTCGATCTTCGATCAAGCTGTCTGATGGAATATTGCCGAAATATGTGGTCAGTGTCTACCTTTGCTTTACAACTTCCCTGTGCAGAAACTTCTGGTGTTTTATTATGTTCGAGGTTCTTTGTAAATATAAGTTGTTATTGTTTCAACATGTACAAATATTGTCATGTTGTCACTTAAAGATTCTGCTGCAAAAGCCCAAAGAGAAATTATACGTCCATTAAATGAATTGCTTGGTGTATTTGAATTTGTTTTTCAGGAGCTTTGTTTATTATTTAAAACATTTTAGATGTGAGAAAGGATATTTCACCTAGGTGGATTGAAGCAGGTGTGATAGATCCCACAGGAATATAAACATTCAGATAAAGAGCAGGATTAGCCATTCAGTCTGTCAATCTGATTTCACCATTCAAGAAAAACATTACTGAATAGACTGTAACTTCAAATCCACATTCCCATTAAGACCCTGATCATATTGTGCAATCATCAGCGAACATCCCCATTTCTGACCTTATGGTGGAGGGATGTCATTGAAGAAGCAGCTAAAGATGGTTGGGCCTAGGACACTACCCTGAGGAACTCCTGCAGAGATGTCCTGGAGCTGAGATGACTGATCTCCAACAACCACGACCATCTTCCAATGTGCCAGGTATGACTCCAACCAGCTGAGAGATTTCCCATAGACTCCAGTTTTGTTAAGACTCCTCAATACCATACTCGGTCAAATGTGGCCTTGATGTCAAGATCTTTCTTCTCTCCTCACCTCTGGAATTCAGCTCTTTTGTCCATGTTTGAACCAAGGCTGGAATGAGGTCAGGAGCTGAGTGGCCCTGGCAGAACCCAAACTGGGCGTCACTGAGCAGGTTATTGCTGAGCAGGTGCTACTTGATAGCGCTGTTACTGACACCTTCCGTTGAGAATAGACTGATGGGGCAGTAATTGGCCAGGTTCTTTGTGTGTACAGGATGTACCTGGGAAATCTTTCATATTGTTGGACAGATAACAATGTTATTGCTGGAACAACCTGGCTAGGGATGTGGCATATTCTGCAGCTCACATCCTCTCAACTATGGATAGAATGTTGTGAGGGCTCATAGCTTTTGCAGTATTCAGTACCTCAATCAGGTAATATGGGCACACCTTGATATCAGGTGGAGTGAATTAAAATGGATGAAGACTGGCATCTGTAATGCTGGGGATCTCTGGAAGAGAATGAGATGGATCATCCACTCAGCACTTCTGGCTGAAGATTGCTGCGAATGCTTCAGCCTTATCTTTTGCACTGATGTGCTGGGCCCTTCCATCATTGAGGATGGGGATATTTGTGGAGCCTCCCCCTCCAGTGAGTTGTTTAATTGTCCACCACCATTCACAACCTGATGTGACAGCACTGCAGAGCTTAGATGTGATCCATTGGTTGTGGAATCGCTTAGCTCTGTCTATCACTCAAATTCTACCAACTGCTGAGGTCGGATTCAAACACATGTCCACAGTGCATTACCACGGTCTCTGGATTACAAAATGACCCGATCATCATCTTCCCCCATGATTAAATACTCTACTAGGGATTTGTCCACAATAAAATACTTTCTCCACTGCCCAATTATTATGGAATAGTAAATATTTTTAAAAGAAGGATGTTGAAGAGGAAGTTTTTAATGATGGACTGTTGACCTGTGAGCCCCAGGGCCACACAGCATATTCTGTACAATTGAAGTTGTCAATTCTAGTTGGTCATAGTCCTGGAGGTTATGGTTATTTTTTTCATGGCATGTGAGTGGTGCTGGCAAAAGGCCAGCACATGTTATCCATCCCTAGTTGCCCTCAGGGAGGTGGTGGTGAGCCTTTTTGAACTATTGCAGTCCACCTGGGGCAGGTATGCCCATATTACTGATCACATGGACCCTTAATAACCTCCACCTCCCAGAACACTACACCCCTCCATTGGCTCCTGGATATTCTACTGTTGCAATGGCCCACCTTCCCTTTGCTGTTTGGAAAATGAATGTGCTCTTCATTAACCAATTGAATAATCCCAAATGTCATACAATCAGCCTTTTTTTCTGCATTCCAAATACTGCTATGATTAATAACCAAACAAGCATAATCAAAGAATTCTTGAAACACTGTTTCTTATCAAGCTCATTTTTTTTCCTTTATTCATTAATGGGATGAGGGCGTCACTGACCAGGCAGCATTTATTGCCCATCCCTAATTGCCCTAGAGAGCAGTTCAAAGTCAACCACATTGCTGTGGGTCTGGAGTCACATGTAGGCCAGACCAGGTAAGGATGACAGTTTCCTTCCCTAAAGGACATTAGTGAACAAGATAGGTTTTTCCCGACAACCAACCATGGATTGATGGTCATCATTAGATTCTTAATTCCAGATATTTTACTGAATTCAAATTCCACCATCTGCCATGGCAGGATTCAAACACAGATCCCCAGAACATTATCTGGGTCTCTGGATTAACAGTCCAGTGATAATACCACTAGGCCATCGCCTGCCCCAGCTTGGTTTTGCTGATAGCCACATCCTGGAGTTAGTCTTTGATCGTCAGAAATCCTAGTCAATCCTGTAAAGGCAGGATACTGTGGATGCTGGAAAACTGAAACAACAACAGAAAGTGCTGAAGAAACTTGGCAGATCATGAAATATCCCTGGACAGAGGAATAGAATTAACAACAGTCGAAAGATGTGCAGGGTAGATAGATTGGCCATGCTAAATTGCCTCATAGTGCCCAGGGATATTTAGGTTAGGTGGGTTAGACATGGGAAATTAGGGGTAAGATAATGAGTCTGGGTGGGATGCTCTTTGGAGGGGCGGTGTGGACTTGTTGGGGCGAATGGCCTGTTTCCACACTGTAGGGATTCTATGATTTTGAGTGCAGTATGATTCTTCTTCAGAACTGGTGCAGGTCAATCCTGGATTTTTGGCAGCTCTTGAAGCAGATTGACTGCGGATATACGCAGGGTATTTGCTGGAGAAATGAAAGACTCAGTGGGTATTTAAGAGACGGTGCAACATTGAAGCAAACAAGCAATATCCTAGCAACATCCTCTACTAGGAGGAATGTTGGAAGAGTAACCACGGTTTAATAAGTAATGGCAGGCTTTGATTTATAAAATGTAACAAAGTACTCCATCAATGCCGATCATTACTTAATAAACAACCACAGTAGGGTGGAGAATGTTGTGCTCGATAGACTTTCTCTACTTCTTTGATCTCCACCAATATACGGAAGCAAAACTAAATTTCAGGGCAGAATTTAAGACTAGGAATGAGAGATTCAATGTTAGTGTAATGCCAGACTGGGAACAAACACTGAGTGTGAGCATCCTGGGGAACACGGATTCATTTACTTAATTCAAATTAAATGACGTGGATATATTTTATTGATGAAAATTGATGAGTGTCAAGTGCATTCCTATGTTCTTGTGTAACTCATAATTTGTTCTTTTAAGCTCCATGGGGAAATGATTTCAATCAATAATTAACGTTTTCTAATTAACAGCCTCTGTGAGGACAGAAGAAAAATGCTTTTCTGTGTAGTTTCTGTTTAACAAACTGCCAGAGCCTAAAAACCAGTTCCACTTCTTGGATGCTTTTAGGCACAACATGAAGGCCCTAAACATTGACCTGTACCTTTGGGAGACACAAGGCAGAGGGAAACGAGGATGTCTCCTGTGGGCTGGTCTGGGCCACCATGACAACTCTGTAGCTGTAGCAGCTTAACACCAAGCCTCAACATCAGAATCAAGAGCCCACACAATACCCAGGACCATCTCAAATTCAGCCCTTCAGGCATATTCTACTTCCAATGGATCGGTCTCTCCATCAGCAAACATGCACCATATGAAGCTGCTCACCCCAGCACGTTTATCGTGGGTCTATCCTCTTAGGCAGATGGAAGGATGTCAACAATAGGTGAGGAGGAAGTTGTTTTATTGAAACAAGTAGCAATTTAGCAGATGTGTGATGGCCACTTTATAAAATGAATGAAATGATTTTCTACAATACATATTGTATTCACACTGACGAGCTGGATGAATGTGATTGGTTTGGAGTTTGCTTTCAGTCACAAAGGAACAATACTCACTCTTTACCTCCAGGAAAGTGGCCCAAGGAGAGACATAGCTGAAGATATGAACAGATCATCTAATCCGATAAAAATCGAAAGAACTGCAGATGCTGTAAATCAGAAACACAAACAGAATTTGCTGGAAAAGCTCAGCATGTCTGGCAGCATCTGTGGAAAGAAATTGGAGTTAATGTTTCGGGTCAAGTGACCCTTCCTCAGAACTTAGTGTCAGAACTGAGTTTTTCCAGCAAATTCAGTTCATCCAATCTGTTGTCTGCTTCGGTGGCACCCTCTACAGGTCACCTACGAGCAAAGGCTCTTCAACCAGTCATCATCAAGAATCCTTACTAAGACACAATCTTCCAACCAGGAATTAAAACAAAATGATAAATTACATTAAAATCATGATAGAGACAGTAAAATTGGTTGGTATACAGGTGGTGTTTAAAAGAAGGTAAAAAGTATAAAATGTTTTGAAATATAATGTGGAACATTATTTTCTTCTCCGGGAATGAGATTCAACACTTGACATATTGATTTTTCCAGGCCAGAAATGTTGATCAATAGTCATTATCGCTTCTTATGCCTTTAAAACCTTACTTACTCTTAAATACTTCAGCCCTGACTTTTTCAGCATTTTATCGTGCAAGAGTGATGGAGAGTTACTCTACATTCGTGCTGTTGTGGTGCTGTTGGTGCAGAATCTGTTGTTGGGGACAACTGAGAACTGTGCCCTGTTTTCCCTCTGTTAGATCACTCTTTAAAACCTACCAGTTTTACCAAGTTTGTGGTTATCTGACCGAGGATTTGTTCCATGGCTGTACGTCATAGTTTGTTTTGTAATGTTCCCCTGAAGAGCCTTCGGATGGTTCTTTACTTTAAGGGGACAATAGCAACAAATTGCTGAGGCTCAAATGCACCAGGATATCTAGCCGTCCCACCTACTCCAATCCCACAACCAATTAGTGGGAAAACACCACTTCACAAATGTTGGAGGTTGAAACATTATCCATTCCTTCTTATTCTATCCAACATACAGTCTATGAACATGATGCCACCAGTATCCTGAGCAGTATAAAAAGACACATGTTTAAGACTGACTTATTGCCAGAGACATTATGATAGTTATTGCCTTAAACCTGAAACTATAATCATCTTAATCTCCTTCAATTACAGTTTGTTAACTGCTGATGTCACATCCAAAATGTGAATAAATTAAGAGCCAATCAACTAAAACTATCAACTATATATGTTCATAGAAAGGTGAAGTTTTGAGGTCAATGTCTTAGGCAGAAATTTAAGTATCAACTTTTACAAAAATACTGTAATATTTTTGAGATATTTATGCAGTTAATTTGGGTTAATTTGCAGTATCTTGTACAGGATTGGTTATCTAGGAATGTCCGATGATCTTGGTGTGTTGCTATTGGTACCACCAGGTGAATCCACAGAATCACAGAAGTGTTATGTTACAGAAGCAGGCCATTCAGCCCATCATTTCTGCTCCAGCTCTTCAAAGAGCATCATTAACTAGTGCCTTTCTCCTGCTTTCTCCGTGATTCTGGTATTTCACAGCCAGACAGTTGTGTAGTTTAGTTCTGAGCTGGGTGCGGGGAGAGGGGAGTGGGGAGGGTGGGTGGAGTGGAAGAGGGTATTAGGGGGATGGGGGTTACATTGACAGATCTTTCCGTTGTGGTATTGCCTCATCAGGGAGCGCTGGGGTTTGGCCGCCTGTAGTACCCATTTTACCAGAGCATCTGTTCAAGCAGCTCCAGGTGGACAAGCTGATCGACACTAGGGCTTTCCTCAGACAGTGTCTCCTGCCTGTCTTTTGTGTAGGTGAGAGTGCAAAGTGAGGGTCTTGAAGGATCAGGGACGGGAGCAGCTGATGGTCGATAAATCTTGAAAAACCAAAGTTGATGCTTACATGAAGCATATGAAAAATTATGACCTTCTAAACCAAAACCTTACAGGTCACTTTTTATATCAGGTCAATGTTTACACAGGTGTAAATGGTAATAAGAGGTTGTGGTAGAAAGGATGGGGATGAGCCACTGTGTAGATTCAATTACTGTGAATTGATGACCAATAAGAATAATTATAGTCAAAATAAAGAAATGTCTTCTGAAGATTTGTCATTACTGTATGCCAAATTTTCTACAGCATCCAATTGCACGCAGGAATCTCTCCTTCAGAATTTCCATACTGCTGTACTTGGGCAGATCCAAGATCATGTTACAGGTGTGGGCAGCTGGGAAGTACAAATCGGGATCATCCTTTGGGACATGCACGATAGTAATGCTGAGGTTCCTCATGCCACCAACTGGAATCCTGTCACATCCTGTTAGGAAGGCTGAGCAACAAGAAACAAACAATTATTAACATTGTCAACAAAAGTGCTGGCATTCCTGGATCATTTCCTACATAGGATTCTAAGACTCCCCAAAGCACTTTACAATCGAGGAAGTAGCTTTTGAATTGCAGTCTCTGTGTAATGTAGGCAGCCAATTTGCATGCTGCAAGCTCCCACTGATAATGGCCAGATACTTCATTGTAAGGATGATGATTGAGGGATAAACATTGGTTCGAACACTGGGGATTTTTCACCCTTCTGAGAGGCCAGATGCGGTTTCGGTTTAATATCTCATCAGAAAGCCAGTGCCTCTAACAGTGCAGCATGGCAGTTGTGATTTCACTGGGATGCTTAGGCACCTGGATTGAGAGATGAAGCCTCAACATTCCGACTCAGAGACTGTTATTTATTGATCTAAGATTGATACAGATAAGAAAGCTAGATGGCATAAGAAAGTGAGGAAAGCAGGGCTTGACAATGGGCAATGCCAGGAGCACTGGTAGTTTGGGTTGGCATGGGTCTGAATTTATTAACAGGATGACAGTGCTTTAGTTAACAGATGTAGCCATGATGTGGTCATAGCTGGTGAATGGGAAAACATTCTGGATGGTTGTAGACCCAACGACGACTTAAATCCACAGCATTCCTGTCTAATCTAAACCCTATCCCACAAGCTAGGCCCAGTCTCCCTGATCTGCATCCTCACTCCAATCTAGACCTTGTCCTACTATCTAGATTCTCTCTCCCAATCTAGATCATACCTCCAAGAATGATACTCCAGTCTCCCAAGCAAGCCCATACCCCCCAATCTAGAAACCATCCTAATCCAGTTCCTACCCAAATCTAGACCCTACCCCAATCTAGATCTTGACCCTATCCAGTCTACCCTGCCACCCCCAAATGGATCCTAAAGCTCCCCTCCTGATTAATTATTCCTTTAGATCACTCACTCCCTTGTTGATTACAGTTGTCAGGCCAGAGTCTCCAATCTGGCTGACTATGGCCTGAAACAGAGAATTGTTTTTACTGAGGTGATTAAATTTGATGGACCCCCTGGCAAATCCATTCTGGTTGGCTTTCCCAGCTATTGATTGTCTCTCCTCTCCCTTCATGGCCCAGTTGTTATCAGAGCTTCTGTAACTCTGCAAAACAGCAAATTCACTCACCGAGAAAATGTTTCTTTGCTTCCTCTGTCAGTCCGTGAAACATCTCCCAAAAATTTGCAATGGATTTGTCAGCCTCCACGTATCCATGGTACTTTGTGTTCTGTCAGTGCGTACACATGAAGTGGAATCATCGTTGTGCACAGAACACGGTATTACAAAATTGTCACGCAAAAATACATATCATTCCACAAAACAAAATGTGACTTTGGGTGTCATCAACAATATTTTTTGTGTTTGTTTTAATTATTTCAGGAACACAGGCATCACTGCTGGGCCAGAATTTATTGCCCATCCCTATTTGCCCAGAGGGCAGTTAAGAATCAACACATTGCTGTGGGTCTGGAGTCACAAGTAGGCCAGACCAGGTAAGGATGGCAGACTGCCTTCCATGAAGGACACTAGTGAACCAGATGGGTTCTTACAACAATTGACAGTGGTTAAATGGACACTATTAGGTCAGCTCTTTATTCCTAATTTTTTAATTGAATTCAAATTTCACTATTCCACCATCAAACTCTTTTCCCCAGGACATTAGCCTGGAGTTTCTGGATTATTAATCCAGTGACATTTCTAAAACACCATCACCTCTCCTATTAATGTAGCAACATGTCCCATTCATAGCAGAGTGATCAGAAACAATTTGATACAGAGTAACTTAAGGAGCTCCTCAGATAGGTGACATGATCAAACAGGTATGTTTAAGAAGGATCTTAAGGAAAGAGAGAGAGTTAGAGATATCTAGGGAAGGAACTCCAGAACTCAGAGCACAGACGACTGCAAAAATAATCACCAGTGGGAAAATATTGGGAACGCTCAAGAGGGTGGAGTTAAAGATTTGGGGAGTGCTGACAGTTTGGAGGTTACAGGAAGGGACAGTATAAGGGTTGGGGAGTCAGGTTGCAGCTGTACATGACATTGGTGAGGCCACTTTTAGAATACTGCATACAGTTCTGGTTGTCCTTCTCTAGGAAGGATGTTTTTAAACTTGAGCAGGTACAGAAAAGTTTACAAGGATGTTGCCGGGACTGGAGGGTTTGAGTTATAGGGAGAGGCTAAAATGTCTGGAATTTTTTTCACTGGTGTGTCAGAGGCTGAGAGGTGACCTTATAGAAGTTTATAAAGTCATGATGGACATAGATAAGGTGAATAACCAAGGTCTTTTTCCAAGGGTAGATGAGTCCAAAACTAGAGGGGCACAGGTTTAAGGTGAGAGAGGAAAGATTTAAAGGGGACCTAAGGGGCAACTTTTTCACACAGAGGGTGGTGCGTGTATGGAATGAGCTGCCAGAGGAAGTGGTAGAGCTGGTATAATTACAACATTTAAAAGACTTTGGACAAGTACATGGATAGGAAAGGTTTAGAGGTATATAGGCCACACAAAGGCAAATGGGACAAGTTCAGTTTAGGACACCTGTCACCATGGACGAGTTGGACCAAACGGTCTGTTTCTGTGCTGTACTGGAGGGCTTGAAAGCAAAGATGAGAATTTTAAAACTGGACTAGGAGCAAGCATGAGTCAGTAGCTACAAGGGTGATGGGTGAACAGAACTTGGTGCTAGTTAAGTCGTGCAGAAAGTTTGGGATGACAACATTACAGAAGGTAAAATGTTGGAAGCTGGACAGGAGAGTTTTGAAATAAGGAAGTTTGGAGGTAACAAGCGTGGGGATGAGGGTTTCAGCAGCAGATAAGCTGAGACTAGCAATGTTAAGGTGGTGGGAATAGGCAGTTTTGGTGTTGGTGGAAATATGTGGTCCAGAATTCGCCACAGGGTCAATTGAGCACCAGTTGTGTTCAGTGATGTTAGTTATGCCTCGCAATGGACAGACGATATACCTTTAAGAGACATGCTCATGATGTCATCACCATATCATGGCATGTGACCTCATGGTATAAAGCCCTCAGACCCTATCTTACTGATGCCTCCTGAAGCATAACATTTTGAAGGGATTGTGCTGCAGGCTATCTGAATTGCTAGCTTGAGTTCAGAGTTACAGTGTATATCTATAGACACAAGGTTCATTGAATTCTTCAGTACTATGTGACCCTCAGCCCATTCGTATATTACAGGAATTAACACAAGAACCACTTCATGATAATTATCAACTATCACACTATGTCACATCAAACAGTCAGGTTCAGGCTCAGGCTCAGACAGTTGCCGGGAAGAGGCATAGAGTTTGGGCGTCACGGTGGCTCAGCGGTCAGCACTGCTGCCTCACAGCACCAGGGACCCGGGTTCGATTCCAGCCTCAGGCAACTGTCTGTGTGGAGTTTGCACATTCTCCCTGTGTCTGCGTGGGTTTCCTCCGGGTGCTGTGGTTTCCTCCCACAGTCCAAAGATGTTCAGGTTAGGTGGATTGGCCATGCTAAATTGCCTGTAGTGTCCAGGGATGTTTAGGTTAGGTGGGTTAGACATGGGGAAATGCAGGGGTAGGGGGATGGGCATGGGTCTGGATGGGATGCTCTTCGGAGGGGCAGTGTGGACTTGTTGGGCCAAATGGCCTGCTTCCACACTGTAGGGATTCTGTAAAAGTTGGTGATGAGGCAATGGAGTTTATAGTGAGGATAGAACAAAGGCTTTGACTTTTCTGTGAATTAATTGGAGGAAGTCATTATGAGGCTGATGAGCATGGAGAAAGAGACCAGGCTTTGGCAGGGGTTGGGGTTTATCAGTGGTAGATCCCTGCAACACTGCCACTGGGACATCCCATATCAATCTCACTTTGCGCACCTAAGGCAGATTTCCAGGGAGATAAAATGAAATTGCCTGTTTGCCACAAAGAGATCACAACAATGCTTAAATACGCAAGGTGCAGGGAGATAGCGACTCACTTTCTCCAGCTGATGCCAGTCATAATTGGTGTTTCCATGAATCACAGCCATCAGCTCAACTGGCAGAAAAATATCGACAGCCGGCAGTGGGCAAGCCCTTCGAAATCCTTTTGCAAAGGCTTTAAAGTGTTTCTCTACTGATGTGTTAAACACATAGTCGATGTAGGAATCAACAAACTGCTTTCTGAAACAGAGAAATGCAAATAGAGCATCAGTTGAACTGTAATGGAATCAGGCATCAAGAGGAGGAAGTGCATATTTAGGTGTCATAAGTTTAAGCGAGTCACTAATAAATCAAACAGGAAGTTCAGGAGAAAGGTCTTTACACAGAGAATGATGAAAATGTGGAACACGCTCCCATAGGAACTGAGTCAGGGAAGTAGTTTGGATGTATTAAAGAGAAGCTGGGTAAACACATGAGGGAGAAGGGAGAATGAGGAGAAGCTATTGGATTGAGATAAAGCTGGGTAAGAGAAAGCTCATTGTGGGCACAAGCATCAGTATGGACCAGTTGGGCTGAATGATCACATTCTCTGCTGTTGACTCAGTGTAACGTGATGTAAAGTTTCATGCCAATCTAAAGATGAAGTTAACGTGGTCCCACTCTCTCATCAGATAGATACAACTTGTGGTGGTTTAACTTGACGGTCACACACTTCAGAAAGGAGTGAGGTTAAGAAGAGTCCTTCATGGTAATCATGGCCAGTGTGGGAATTAAACCCAAGCTGTCGGTGTCATTCTGCAATGAAAACCAGCCATCCAGCAACTGAGCTAACCAACTCCCTCAGGCCCATGGGCACACCTCAGAACAACAAAAACCAGGTAGGTTTATATGTTGCATGTAGTGACACACAAGTCCCAATCAGAATGGAAATGATTGCGTCATTTCTATTATCAATCACATCTCTAAGTAAAGTGATTGATTTTATTATCTCATCGTAGGTCAGTTCTGACTTTAAAACTTACATGTTGCTGTGTAATTGTGCAATAGTCATTACATTGTGCTGGAGAAATACTCCCACTATTAGAGATAGACTCTGCAGTGGTTTCTGTCATGACCTCTGTTTGCTATAGGTTGTGGATGCTTTGTTTAAATGGACTTTGTGCTAAGGAAATGGATTTTTGATGTGAGTCCTGTGGTAAGAGCTGCCTCACTCTAACTCATTGACTGCACAGAGCTGTCAGTAAAGACTTGGAAATTTAATGTCAATCAGTCAGGGTAAATAGCTCTGAAATGCCTTAAGCGTTGGCAAAAAATATCAAAAACAATATCAAAGTTTTTTGGCTTGAACTCAAGATGGGTATGGAAGGCTTGAGTTATAAAGAAAGGCTGGATAGGCTGGGACTTTTCTCACTGGAGCATAGGAGATTGAAAGGTGGATAAAATCATGAGGGGTATAGATAGGGTAATGTAGTTGTCTTTTCCCTAGGATGGGGGATTTCAAGACTAGGGGGCACATTTTTAAGGTGAGAGGAGAGATTTAAAAATGACGTGAGGGGCAAACTTTTTACACAGCGGGTGGTTCGCATGTGGAATGAACTTCCTGAGGTAGTGGTGATTGTGGGTACAATTACAATGTTTAAAAACATTTGGACAAGTTCATGAGTAGGAAAACTTTGGAGGGATATGGGCCAAAAGCAGGCAGGTGGGACTAGCTTAGTTTGGGATAATGTTCAGCATGGACTGGTTGGACTGAAGGGTCTGTTTCCCATGCTGTATGACTCCATGACTCTATGCTCAACACCATCTAAAAAAAGCAGCCCATTTGATTGGCACCTTATCTAACACCTTTGACATTCACTCCTTCCACCACAAGACGCTGATTCGCAGCAGTGTGTACTATCTACAAGATACACTGCAACAACTCATCAAGGCTCCTTTGACAATACCTTCCAAATCCACGATCACTTCCATCTAGAAGGACAAAGGCAGCAGATACATGGGAACACCACCCCCTTCAAGCCACTCGCCATCCTGACTTGGAAATATATCACCGTTCCTTCAGAGTCACTGGGTCAAACTTTGAACTACCTCCCTAAGGGCATTGTGGGTATACCTACAGCACATGGACTGCAGTGGTTCAAGAAGGTAGATCACCCCCACCTTCTCAAGGGGCAATTAGGGATGGGCATTAAATGCTGACTTAGTTTGTAATATCTTCATTGTTAATTTAATTTTTAAAAATTGTATCAGGACCCAGAATCACAAGAATACCAAACTTCAAGGGAACAACAATTTATGCAACATTACAAGACAGTTCAGTTTCATTGGCAAATGGACTCTGAGTAGGAAAGGTGTTGTCATGAGGAATGCTGCAGGGAACAGTTAACTGCCTTCTCAAGTTGAAAAAGGCTTATGCAGTCAGTATGCTGCCTGTTGCAGACAGTCCAAGACATTTGCCCGCTATACCTGAGGCTGAAACAGGGCCCAACAAAGCTATTCTGTGGAATAATGGTTACCCTTGATCAGATCATTGCTCACTGTCTATTATGTAAACTCACAATGGTCCCAAGACCACTATGTTCTGTCCTGGAAAGTGGCCAGTCCATATCAAATTACCCTGGAAGGGTAGAATGTTTCAAAAATGTGAATGATAGGTGAAGCTAGCTGTATCGCTATGCAGTAGCAATGTGAGTGCATTTTTCACTGACAGGATGCTACCTACCACGCAATGAGGAATGGGGTTTGTGAATTTGACTGCTTTGAAGATAGTGCATCCCAAACACTCCCGAATCAAACAGCCTATCTCCCTTCAGCTGTGCTTCCCATGAAGCATTTTGACATGTCCTGAGGTCATGGAAGTCTTTTTCTTACCAAAAGGAGTTCTTACCTGTTCTGTTTTGTTACAGGAATGTTTTTACCATTGGGAATAAGTTCATGTTCAGTAACTGATCCATCAACCATTTCTCTCCCTACCTGAAAGAGACAATGCCAACAAACTGTGCTAAGTATCACTTTCAGTGTGTTATGGTAAATAGGAAACAGATTCAGAAGCGATTTTATCACTAGAGCACCAAGTACATTTGTACTAAGATTCTCGGACTCCAACTGCACAGGGATATTAGCACATTGGTCCTTTGGAGAAATACAATCATAGCCTTAGTTGTAGGCCTGTTGTAGTAAAGTGACACCTAAATCAGTATCTTTGGGCATGGTCTGTTGGAGCCTTTAAATAGACATCTCTTGAAACATTATGGAGAATGATGTAATTGTCAGAAACATCAAGCCACCCTTTATAGTTCTCACCCAGTTTGCTGAAAGTGCAAATCAGGTGGAGATATTGGAGGAAGGGAACTTAATCAATAGTTCCCTCTCTACAATGCAGCCCAAAAGCAAAGTTGACCTCACTTACTTTTGATTGGTCAATCCTCTCATTCGAATAAAGATGAATCTGACAGAAACACATTGAAGACGGAACTTCACAGCCCTGCTCTCTCAGCCAGGAGATCCATCCATGTGTCTGAATTCCCTTTGCTCGCCTCATCCCTCCCTCTTTCTGTCATCTCCTCCAGTCCAAACAACCCATCAACAGCTTTGTGCCTCAACTACTTCCTTGATCTTGGATTGCTCCGTCACTTCAACCTCCTGAACCTGTGCTTCTCTGGACCTCTCCTTCTCACTACCCCTCCTCTCGTCCTTTATGATGTTCTGTAAAACCTATCTCTTCAATTGAGCTCTTGGTCACCAGTCCTGACAGCCCCTTGTGCGACTTAACATTGAATTTTGTTTGATAATTGCTTCTGTGAAGCACCTGGGAACTTTTTAAACCTCATTAAAGGCATCATACAAATGTAAGTTATTGTTACAGCCCAGAGTAATAGCTTGGCCACAGGTAGATGGACCAGGGGCTTGCCAATGGACCAGTTAATACATTGAACAGCCTGCTTCCGAAACAGTGCCAGAGAACTGGCAGCCACAGAGTCATGTCTGATCCCAATGATCGGTGGGTGTCGACGAGCTCCCTCTCACCACCAACAAATCCCCACTTTCCTCCACTAACCTCCATAGAATTGGCAGCTCTTAGAGAAGGTCCCAGAATTTCCAGCAATTAATAATTTTATTGGTCAGTGCATTGACTATTGGAGCTGGAAGGTCATGCTGCAGCTGTACAGGACATTGGTTAGGCCACTTTTGGAATACTGCATTCAATTCTGGTCTCCCTGCTATAGAAAAGATGTGAAATTTGAAAGGGTTCAGAAAAGATTGACAAGGATGTTGGCAGGGTTGGAAGGTTTGAGCTATAGGGAGAGATTGGATTAGCTGGGGCTATTTTCCCTGGAGTTTCAGAGGCTGAGGGGTGACCTTATAGAGGTTTATAAAATCATGAGGGGCGTGCATAGGGTGAACAGCCAAGGTCTTTTCCCTGGGTGGGGGAGTCCAAAACCAGAGGGCATAGGTTTAAGGTGAGAGGGGAAAGATTTAAAACGGATCTAAGGGACAACTTTTTCACACAGAGGGTGGTGCATTTATGGAATGGGCTGCCAGAGGAAGTGGTGGAGGCTGGTACAATTACAACATTTAAAAGGCATTTGGAGGGGTATATGAATAGGAGAGGTTTAGAGGGATATGGGTCAAATACTTGCAAATGAGACAAGATTAATTAAGGATATCTGGTTGGCATGGACTGAAGGGCCTGCTTCCATGCTTTATATCCCTATTACTCTTCAGAAAGCTGCTAGGAATCAAAAACTCTGGAGAAAACTCAGAAGACTCTGGCCCCCACTTCACTTTCGAAGGTCTGCATTGCTCATCACAGGCTTGCTGCAGGGAAATACCAACTGGTTACATGGGTGTTTTTACTGGTGGTGGAACGTAGTTAAAAGAAAAGCAAATACAAACATCATGGTGATTTTGGTGGTGGGAAGGTCGCTCAATTGTGTCTGATAATACTTCTGAGTAGAGAAAAAATACTGAGAAGGCCATGAAAATTAAAATGTAAAATATTTTACAACAAAGATTGGTTTTAAATCTATTTGGCTGGGGTAGTTGACTGGGTGGGGCGTTCAGAGACATGGGATCCTTTGTTGATAGCTCCAGCACTATGCCTACTATGGAGGGGATTGTGCTAAATTCCTCATAGGGTTAGGATTGTCTGGGACTCTCCAAGCTCAAAGCCCAGGACACTGCCAACAGCAACCCCAGAGACGAATCATAGAGACTTTCAAATAGATTGTATCAGAGATAGTAGGAACTGCAGATGCTGGAGAATCCGAGACAACAAGGTGCAGGGCTGGATGAACACAGCAGGCCAAGCAGCATCATAGGAGCAGAGAGGCTGACGTTTCGGGCCTAGACC